ACCCACCTCGGAAGGATGGAAGGCTGAGTCAACCTTGACAAAAGTTAGGGAAGACGGAAGGTGAACACGCTGGTAATTACAGGTAGTCCTCAACTTACGATCACAATTGACAACTCCCCCCCCCCCCCAAAAAAAATTCCTGTTGTTCGGCAAGAAGGTTGTAAAGTGAGCTTTCCCCCATTTTACGACTTTTCTTTCCACAGTTGTTAAGGGAATCGCTGTGGTCGTTAAGTGGGTCACAGGGTCATGAAGCGAATCTGGCTTCCCTTTGGACTTTGACGGAAGGTCGTGAAAGGGGGATCGCGTGACCCTCCCCCCAGAACACTGCGACCGTCATAAACGTGAATCAGCTGCCAAGCATCTGAATTTTGATCAGGTGACCATGGGGAAGTTGAAAGGGTTGTGAGCGTGAAAAATGGCCATACGTCACTTTTTTCAGTGCCGTTGTAACTTGGAATGGTTACTAAATGAACTGTTGTAAGTCGAGGACTACCTGTGTTCCACTTTCTATTATTCCACTATGCATTTTCTATGGTGGGGAAATGGGATTGTACGGAGTTAGATGATATGCAGCCATAACAACATTCTTTCTAGAAAACCAAGGTCATCCTTTGTCTCTGCACCTGACCGGAACTGGATGGGTGGAAGCTGCCAGCATGGCAGTGGAAGATGGGACCATGGGATGGACTTGTGGGGGGGGGGGGAAGATCGTGAACTTTCAGCCGGGTGGGGAAAACTGGAAGCTTTCAGATTCGGGTTTTCCCAGCTGTGCCAACATGGCTCTCTTCATAAATTGGAACTTTGAGGAATCCTTTGCCTCGGACTCTGATTTACTTTTGGATGCTATTTGGAACCCTGACACCCACATTAACTGAAACAGGTACCGTGATGGACCCCAAGGTGCAAAAGGAATCGGAGACGGAGAAGCCCTTACCTGGATGATGCTCACGGAGACATGAGAGGGATGACAAAGCCGTTCTCGCCACGAAAATCCGGGAAGGTTCCCGGTTGCCCTAAAACATCACAGAAAGGGGGATAGACGTTATTTCCGCCCCCCCCCACCAGGGAAAATACAAAGAAAGAAACATCTGTACAGGAGTTGATTCAATGGCTCCAAGGAAGCCACCGGAGAGGAATCCGGCTGAAGCCCAGATGCAGCAGGAGAACCCAAAGGCTTCAGATGGGGAGAAGCCCACAGGTGGAGCCGGTCGGCGATGAGGAGGAGGAAGCGACTTCTGCTCCCGATCCAACAACACGTAGGGCAGACAAAAAACAGGAGCACAGAAGGGCAGCCAGATTAGGAGCTCAAAGCGAAGGCATTCCTTGGTTGCATAAAGAGAGGCATAGAATCAAAACCACGTGAAGTATTAATACCGCTTTGTAAAGCCTTAGTAAGGCCACAGCTGGAATGCTGCATCCAGCTTTGGTCACCACAAATTACCAAAAACAAAATGTTGCGAGTTTGGAAAAAGTCCAGAGAAGAGCAACTAAGATGATTAAAGGCAGTGGTGAAATCCGTAGCGGTTTTCCTACCCTGGGAAGGTGCAGAAGGTCGCCCGTTTGGTGGTTTGAATCCCTAGTACAGGGCTTTTGCCTGAGCAGCGGGTTGGACTAAATGACCTCCAAGGTCCCTTCCAACTCTGTTACTGTTTAGACAGAGTCCAAGGCAGGTGTGAAGAAATTTTGACCTCTACCGTTGCAACAAATTCACATTTGTTATAGTTTCGTTGTACAAGTAGTTTCCAAGTTACGACTTTAATAGCAATAGCAGTTAGACTTCTATACCGCTTCATAGGGCTTTCAGCCCTCNTTTTTGAAATAGCTAATGAATGCCATTATGTGGTTGTGTCTTTAAGTATGAATGATTTGAGGTAAAAGCACGTTCAAATAATTGTAGTCAAATGATAATTGTGGTACATTGATAGTAAGATATATAAAGATTTTTGATTTAGAGTGTATAATCTAATATGAATTATAAGTAATGACTGTGGAAGAAATGCCCGAAAGTTATCTGTAACCAATCGACACACTTTCTACAAGATGTAATGAAGGAGGATTCTTTTTTTGTGTTTTTGTTCCATTAAAACAAAAAACGAAAAACTTTTCAAAAAAAGAAATGTAGCGTTCAAAATGTAGGCCATAGCAGTATTTGGAGAATTTAGTGATTTATTTAAAGCATTAACTCATACTTTATAACTCCAGGTGACACAGAATTATACTTGTGTTTTTTTAATGTTAGTTATAGGCCATTTATTCAAGTTATGTTATAAATGGAAAGGTTTAAAGTACATGATGTACAATGTTCAATGTTTTATGTTATTAAAATTTTTACCAACAAAAGAAGCTGAATGTATGCTACATTTGTTAGACTTGTATTTCAGGGACTCCTAAGGTTTGATCACTATTTGCTTGTATATAAATAATACTTGAAATAATTTCTTTGTAAAATACAGGCATTTGGGGAAACCAAACATAAAATAGCCTGTTTGTCCAGTGATGAGGTGTGTGATATGGTTCATATTTGAATAAAAAAAGCAATCTTATCCTAATTTGCATTTTCTGAATACAAAATGGATGCAAAATGCATCTTTTTATGAAAACTTTGGTTTGAAAAAATAGAAACTGACATAGAAGTGATACAAAATAACTTGCCTTTATAAAAATAAGAATATTATAAGAAAGCAAACAGGATCTATTTCTAGTTTTTAAAGACATTTTTTAAATAAATAAAACAGTCTTCAAAATACAGGCTCAGGCTCCCACACAGTGTCTTACAATCAATGTACCGTGTTATTGTTGTTAAAAAAATCATAGTTTCTAGCTCCCATCTCAGGCAAGTGTATATTTATCTATCTAAACTTCTAGTTAACCACTCAACAATATTAAAAGATGACAATGAAATTTAAAAGAGTAAAAAAGAAACATTCAGTATTTCTGCCAAGATGGGGAACAATTAAGTCTACACACAATCCTCCCTTGTGTGTGTAATCCAAGGATCAACAAATGAACCGGTAAGATTCTCCTAAAGATTCCTACAAAGAATCAATGTGACAATAACAATTCAGAATGGAAATCTGCTGCTTTTTTTAGATCAGCACGAGTGCCTAATTGTTAGAAAGGTCCTTGATCTCTCTTAAAGCAGGAGTTCTTATTTCATATANTACCTTAAGTATATACCTCCCACCCTGGCTGGCTGAAAAGGGATATATATATAAACAATATCTCACAGCTCCTTAGCCTTCAGGAAAGATTCCAGCTTTGCAGCCCAAATAATATAGTTTTTCTGTCCCAAATGAGGCACAGAGCTTTCCTTAAATTCAACAGCAGCCATTCTGCAATCTTTCTCTGCCTTGTTTCTCTTTTAACACAGGCAGTCTTCACAGCTTAATTGCAATTCAGTCTGTCTGTGTGCTCTGGGCTCCTAACCTGTCAGAGTTTGTTGCAGAAAAATCAAATCCAGAAAGCACACACAGATAACTGATTCAGCTAGATTCATGAACTTCTTTATATACACAATAACAGATAAATACATGTACAATACCAATAGTAGATTCTTTCAATATGGTAGACATTGCAAGAGTTTCATTTCAGAATTCGGAGCAGACAGAGACTTAAGTTACTGTTTCAATTCTTTGCATAGACTCAGAAGGTTGCAGGCTAAACCATGCCCTGGCCCCTGGCTGTTTCAGCTGCCATTGGCTGACCTTGTTGCTATGCCTATTCATTGGCTGACCTTGTTATCATGTCTCTCCCAGTAATGAATATACTAACAACATGTGATCCCTGTGACCATCCCAGTGGAGCTAAGGATGCCTTTGTCAGGCACTCAGGGGAAGAGGTTAGCCCTTTTGGACTTGGGGTGCACCAGATATGTGATTAGCCCTGAGGTGGTAGAGAAACTGAGACTGAGGACACTGAGGCATAGCCTTTTGCCAGCCAGTTCGGTGAGTGGCAGGGGGGTGGGTCACTTCAAAAATGAACTGTGGGAAGGAGGAGCCAATGTTGCGATGTCACAATGTGTGGTCTCGACACTCCGAGACCGCCATTGATACTTTGCCGCTGGATGGTCCATTGAGACCTAAACCGTCCCACAGAGATGGTGATCAGGAAGACGAAGCCTTGCTGGTCTTAGGGACATTGCAAAGTCCCTGATAGACCCAAGGGAAG